TATTTCTCCTATAGAGAATTTGGAGTTTGATATCTGAAATCTAATAGCCTTTATTTTATTTCTTTAAATGCTCAGGGTCTTAATTTTCCATATATGGGTCTCCTATCTGAACTTGAGGGCAATAAAAATAAATTGGTTCCAAAAGTTATAGATAGAAAAAATCAATAAAATTGAAATAGCATGGTTGATTTTTAGGAAGCATAATTGCAGCTATATTGAGATTCACCTACTACTTTATTCACAAATTAGTTGAATGTAATTGTAGGAAATCAAACAAACAATGAAAGAGTTTGGAAGATATAAAAATACCAGAATTTCAGACTTCAGAATTTTGCAATAGCACTAAGAGCTGACTTCGAGGGTGTTTATTATGAAGAAGTGAGGAAAAATTGAGAGGAGCCTACAACTGAGATTGTTTTTAAGAGCATAAACTCTGAGATGAATAAAATTTTAATATACAAACTGAATGTCAAATTTCAGGTGGTAAAGGAAAATTAAGGGGAAACTGATGAGTCTGAGAATTTTTTAAAACCTAATTTTTGTTGAAAATTAATATATAGTAATTATATGTATTCTGTGGGTAAATTAGTGTCATAATTGGTGATGATGTTTGTGGTAAAATAATATATAATTAATGATACTGAGCCAGACTTGAAGGCAATTCTTTCTTTAACATTTTATTTATTATTTTATCTTATATGTATGAGTGTTATGCATGTACGTATGTAAGTGCACCCATGTTGTGCAATGCCCACGGAGGTCAGAAGAGGGGGTCAGATCTCCTGGAATTGAAGTTACAGGCAGTTGTTGGCTGCCGTGTGGGTGCTGAGGAGCAAACCCAGGTCCTCTGCAAGAGCAGTCAGTGCTCTTAATCACTGAGCCATCTCTCTATCCCTGAAGGGAATTGTTAAAATATGCAATTAACTCACAGAACAATACAGATTTTATCCCTGTACTAGTAAGCTGGAAGTAGAAAATTTGAAGTATTTATTTTTTGGCATAATATGCCATGAGAAGGATGAACAAGAGCTAACAAATGTCCATTGTGAGTTGATTAATGAGGAATAAATGCCAGAAGAAAGGAAGGAAATAGATAGAGATGAATGTTTTGAAAATGAATTACAGTTCCTAGGAAACTGAGGATGTTACTGAGTATTGAGGGTGAACCTGATAACAAGAGTGAAAGTGCAGCCAAACCCAAAGGCACTAAAGACTTAAATGATTCACGGAGGAGCAATTCAAAATGTTATTAAAAAAATTATTATTACATAAAATGTGAATCCTTTATTATGACTTGCTCTTATATGGTCAGCCAGAAAATATTTCTTAGGAAATTTAAAAATCTGCATTTATTCCAGCAATTATAAAAAGGTATATTTCTTATGACATTTTAAAAGGATTTCTAAGTACTTATAATTTGGAGTTGAATAAATGATCTAGTAGCACTGAAAATGTTGTTCAGGTTTATAAAGAAAACAGTATATATTATTTTATAATAAATACAGAATGTCATAAGCATATGCTCTTTTCTTATTTAATGTGTACATGTTTACATTCAGTATGGGTAGAAATGTTTATGTTTATGAAATCTGAACTCACGATATGCTGTGCTCCACATCCACCATAATATATATTTACTGAATGGAATCATGTTATTAATTTTTCCTGTAGGATTAGAATTTGCTTAGAATTGGAAAGTCTGAATAATGTTCTAACTGTAAGCATATAAGATGTCAAAAGTATTGGACTAATAGTCAAACGCTGTTTTGACAGATGTTCCTTTCAGCGCCACACCAGAGAATGCCTTTTATAATGGCTGCATGGAAGTCAATATCAATGGTGTACAGTTGGATCTGGATGAAGCCATTTCTAAACATAATGACATTAGAGCGCACTCATGTCCATCAGTTGAGAAAAGTCAAGAGAATTTTTAGTCTACTTTCTCTGCTGATAATATCTCTTTACTTGTTGTAATTATGCTTATGTTTTTGTTAACAGCTGTCAGGCTTTACCTGAGATTGTGCAGTCTTTGAATATTATGTGGTACTTTTACTTTCTTGGGATTTTTGTTATATAAGTCACATTTTTAAAAATCTTGCTTCTATTGTTACCTAGGAATTATATAATAAAACATGAAAAATTTAAATTTCAATTTGCTAAAAACAACATTACTTAGCTTCATTGGACTAGTATTTAAATATCAATGTTCCTCAGAAAGCAAGTCAGTAAATGCAATGAAAAGCACATGTGAGTAAACATTAACAGTTACAGGTGAATATTACATTTTTGTTGTTGCAAAAGCAACATCAGGAAAACCCTGATGTAGGCAGAAAAGATGATAGTCTATTGAATGTAAATTGAATGGAAAGTCTCAAAGCTTCATTCCAAAATAATTGCTCTTGGGGGATGGGGTAAGCATCGGTTTCATTGTTTTCCTACTTCACTTTACATGTGACCCAGCACCTTCACTGAATTAGAGAGGGGCAAATTTTCATGGGTTCAGCATGTGAATCTTGCTTCCAAGGAAGTGGTTTCTATGAGAGACATCAGATTATATGTGGAAATCTAGAGTGGATGCATTGTTTAAATTTGGCTGTACAGGCCACACAAGCTCTGAGTCAGAAAGGTGTGGTACTTAAGTGTTGGAAAGGGGACTGAACACACAAACAAGTTCAAAGTTTCCTTCACTCCAGGCTCTATTTACTGTAAGTGGCTTGAAGATGATTGCTGAAGGACAAAATAAATTGATGAAAATGAAAGTAGATTTTAACAAAAGTATAATGGCAAGAGGGATGCCGTAAATATTATATTGTCTTTGTAAAGGAAGAAGTGAGGAGGTAAAATTGTCCTGCCTTTCCTGGTGGTGCAATTTCCAAGTGGCAGGTGTTTAACTGTTGTTTTTCCTCATTTCAGGTGTGCATCAGATTTTCCATTGACATTTTAGAAAATAAACATTTTAGTACACTTATTTTACATTACATGAAACATAAAATGATGTATTTTTAAAATATATAAATAATATTTTTGTTTGAGCAACTCAGTACAATATCACATAATATATATTTAAGCCTTCATGTAGCTCAGTAGAACTTTAGCTGCAAGGGAGGTTAATCTGAAATCATTGATGAATAGCAATATTGGTTATAGTAGATTAGATCTCAAAAAGGGAAGAAAAGCAAAAAAACAAGGAGTATCTCACATGCACTGGGAATTATACTACCTCATTTACTGGATGCAGTTTTCTCCCACTATGCACTATGGGTGATAAATATCACGAAGTGACTATTGATTATGCTAGTATACAAAAGGAAAGCTGGGACTGTGAAGACAGCTCAGAGGATACAGTGCTGGGCAATCATGAGGATGACCTGAGTTTGGATCCCCAGCATTCATGTAAAAAGCTGGGTGTGGTGGTCTGTGCCTGTAATCCCAGTGTTGGTAGGACAAGGCAGAGACAGGTGGATCCCGGGGGCTTGTTGACAGGCTACCTGAAACAGGGAGCTCCAGGTTTGATGGGAGACAATGTCTTGAAAAATAAAGTGGGGAGCAATTGAGGAAGGTACCCTGTGTTGACCTCTGGTCTCCATATGTACATGCACATGTATGTAACTCCCCCACATACAACATAAAGGAAAGAAGCAGTGAATATGATCAAAATACATTATATACAGCTATAAGATATAATGAAACACATAATTATGTGTAATTAACTTATGCTAATAAAAATGGAGGAAGAAAAATAGAGAAATGTGAGGGAAAGGAAAAAAGAGCAGTAGAAAGGGAAAATGCATTTTCATTGGGTGAAGGTTTGTACTTCTGATTTAATAGTGCTTCATACCGCAGCTGTAGGGATCAATTCTGCATTTCCCATCAGAGGGAAAAAAGCATCCTATACACAAGGAGGATTATATGGGACCTTTTACAAACTTCATACATTTTGAGGTACATTCCTATTTAGCTGGAGAGTAAAAATATCTAGACCTTCAGCTCAGAATATTTGCTTTGGTTATAGATTTTGATATTTTCCACAAAATAGATATTTCTATTTTTAAGGAGTTAGTAGAGGTAGAATCTGTGAAGTACCAAATTCAACAGAATAGGAAGTAGTAGCCAAGTTGGTAATCAGTTCTCAGGTTTCCGGTCACTGAAACTACAAAGTAACTTTGTTTGGGGTTATCTCAGGAAATCAAAGAAAATTTCTGCTCATTGCTCCCATATCAGAGACCTTCGCTCCTTATTAACTAAACTGTGTTGATGATGATCTTTCACATGGTTGCTTGCTATAGTAACCTTTGGAATTTCAGAGACCTTCTATTTGAAAACTGGGTTTTCTTCTAAGGAAGAATCATTGCTTATGCATTTATCTAGTGATGTACTGAGATCAACTTTAGGCATCTAGCTGTCTTGTGCTTGTATCTTCAGAGTATGAGGACAAGAAGAAGTTACCTGGGTCAGTGTCCAATGAAGGTTTTTTTGTTCCTTTTTCTCATATTAATATATACAAGGCCAAATTATCAAGTGAAATTTATTATGGGAAAATTTAAACCCAAATAGGAAATTAAGAAGGCCAGAAATAGTGGAATGGAACATGGGAAGAATGGAAGTGACAGCCTATGACTTCAGCAATTCCATCTACTTCTCATGGTGCAGCAACTGCACTTGTGAGTTTTCAGACTCATTCCTGCTAATCTACTCGCCATGACAATCCCTCTCCAAAGGTAATTCTACTTACTTGGAAACAGAACTAAAATTAAAATTAAAATTACATGTGCAATTTGCTAGTTTAGCCCCAACCTAGCAAATTCCCTTTCCTGCTTGTTTCAAACTGTGAACTCTGAAATCTGATCCTGCAGCTGGGGTGTCCTTATCCCACAGATGCGAGAAATACGAGGTAGAGCAAATCCTTCACCAGATTCATTTGAAAGTATGAGACAGTGGGCCAATATTTATTAATAATTGATATAGAACTAATCCAGTACTATTATCCAGAGTTCCCAAATGATATATACATAAATATATTGAACTCTAGCCATAGAATAAGGCTGAGGCCAAAACATCCTAGAATGAGCATCTGTATCTCCCTGCACCAACACATCATAAACACAGTGGCTCTAGTGGGCTAACAGACATGACCCCTAGCCTCTTAGGGAAATGTAGCTAGCACACTGTATAACTGGAATTCCAAGCCAGGATTTTTAAGAATCCATGCCTAAAATTTAAACTTCATAATTAGTTATGCTACTACTTATTAAATGGCACTGTTGCAGTGAATAATTTCAACAAAAATCCAAAAACTGTATTATATTCCATATATACTGGTTGTCAATGAATATCATCTTAATCATTTTGAAAATAAATGTGGTGTTACTTATTGAACTACGCAAATTACAATGTATTTCATATAACTGGAATTTGGGGCTAGCTACTACTTTGGGAAAACAATAGAGAAAATCTCATACTCCTGCTGCCAGAATACTCAGTCTAGAGGAGCAGAGAGTGGACAAGTAATTCAAATATGAGTTTGAGTTTGTTAAGGGTGGTAACACAGAAGCAAACATATCCAGAGAACTCTGGGGATGAGAAGTGAATTCCAAACGAAGCTTATTGAGGTACTGTTTGAAGATCTAGAAGGACAGATGTAGATTTTTATTAGTTTCTCTCTAGTCCAGCCCAATGTTTCCAACTGTTTCCTCAAATGCTTTCATAAGATCTCTCTCACAGAGATATCTGATCCTACTACATTCATAAAATCTTTACTCTCTTTTCAAATGAAAAGTTTCACAAAGCACAGCTAGATAACCCTGTCTTTCAAGGGATTTCAATTCCAGGTGCTTATCAGAGTCACAAGTTAGCAAGGAGATTCACTCAGAAAAATCAGAGTTATAAACCACAAGCCCAAACATCTCCCATATATTCTTCTCTTTCCTTCCTGTGTATATGTGAGTGTATAAGTACACAGAGAGACAAATGTAAAACAAAACAAAACAAAATAGTGAAAACAGGGCTAGATAGAAGGGCAGAGGAGAATTGTTGGTGGTGTTGCTGGTGGTAGTTGTGTGTGTTTGTGTGTGTGTGTTGTATGTATAAATAGGTGGAAAGCTAAAGAAGAAGAATAGAAAGTGTGAGAAAAGGCAAGGAAGATGCAAAAACTGATTTTGTGTCAGATTAGTTAGTAAGATAAAGAGTAAAGAGTGAGGGAGAAGAACAACAAATACAAAAAGATAATGCATAGAATGTGTGCTAGGGATACAGAGCAAATAGGAAAATAAATGAAATACAAATTTTTTAATAAACCCTGAAATAGAAGAAGATAGTGACAAATTGAGATCCACTGAGATGAAAGGTTAAAGAGAGATGGTGATAAAGAAGTAGGGATACAAAGTAACTAAAAATGCTCAAAAGATTATGAGAAGAAAGTACTAGAAAAAAAAGAAAAGAGCAGAGACAGAGAGGGAGACACAGAGACACAGAAACAGAGACAGAAAAAGAGAGACCAGATGAACATAAAAGATGAGAGCAAATATTAGGAAGAGGAAAGAAAGGTGAGTGTAGTAACAGAAGGGAGGGGGCACGGAAGGAACAGATGAAAATGGAGAAAGAATAGCAGAATAAATAGAGGAAGGACAGATGGAGATTTAAAGACAGAAGGGGATGTATTTGAAAAAGAAAGCAGGAAATTGACAAAATACTAAAAAGTAAAAAAAAAAAAGACAAATGGGGAAAGAAGTAAACAGAGATACAAAGACTGGGCTAGGATGATCCCTCACTAGTTGGTGAGGATGGTGGGGATGCCAGCCTTTTGGCTGGCTGTGGAGATGATGCTCCAATGGCCTGGAGGTGGAGAAACTGACCAAAAGTCTGCTAAAGAGCACCCAGCCCAAACTGTCTCCAACCTCCTTTGTCATCTAGGGTTTCTCTGTAGGAGAAGAAAGGAAGCTTGTCAACTAAGTATCATTATGTGAAGACATCTGAACATTGCTTGTTTTCTTCTCCCTCAGGTTGAAATTTCTAAGAAATAGAATAATGAAAATCAATTGAATCACTAGTCTCAAATCTTGCTTCATGTTCGTCACTCTTCTCCAGTTCTTTCTAAAACAGAACCTGAGCTTTTTCTAGGTGTAGAAACCACGGAAGACAAAGATAAATTCACTTATTCAACAGCTAGTTATGGAGCACTTATAATGTGCCAAACGCAGCTGTTATGGACACTCGGCCTATAGGATTGAGCAAAACACAGTATTATGTCTTGATAGATGTGTTAGCTTTCCACCTCTGTGACAAAATACCTGAGAACAGCTTAGAAGGAAATGAGATTTAGATTGGTTTATGGTTTTAGTACATGGTCATCTGCTTCTGTTACTTTTGGGTTTGCCTATGGTGCAGTGAAACTGTGTACTCCATGGAAGCTAAGAAGGGGAAATGGAGAGAGAAAGAAAGAAGATGGTTTATGAGGTCCCAAGATCCCCCCCAAGGGCACTCCATCAATGACTTACCTTCCTTCAACTATATCCCACTTTCTAAAGGTTCTATAACTTAGCATCACAGGCTGGGGACCAAACCTTCAACATATGGCTTTGAGGGAGACATTTAATATCTAAACAATCATGACAGATAATTTAACCATCTTTTATTTTAGTATCAGCTCATTCTTTGACAGATTGAAGGCAAATTTTTATCATTCATATTTCTTGTAGTTTCATTTTGTTGCTATGATAAATACTATGACCAAATCAATTTAGGGAAGGAAAGGATTTATTTGCTTACCCTTTTTAAGTGATAACCCATATCAGAGGGAAGTCAAGTATGAACCTGGAGGCAGGAACCTGGCAGGAATCCAGAGGCAGGACAATGGAGGAATGGTATTTGCTGGCTTACTCTCTGGCTTGCTCACAGGCTCATGCCTTCCTTCTTATGGAAAAAGCTAGCTTTCTTATGCAGCCCAGAACCACCTACTTGGGAAATGGTGCCACCCACAGGGAGTTGGACCTTTCCACACCAATTAGTAATCAAGATACTGTCTCCACAGACACTCCCACCCGCTAACCATCTAGGAAATTCTTAATTCTTCAGTTGAGTTTTCATCTTCCCAGGCTACCCTAGGCTGTATCAAGTTGACAATAAAAACCAACCAGCACAATCCACCCTTTGCCAATTTGACACACAAACCTATTACTGTTAATCCATAACATTTCTTTCTTGTCCCCAAGATCTCATGTTAATATCATGATATAAAATATAGTCCAACTTTTAAAAGGCCCACAGTTTTAAAGGTTTCAGCTTTTAAAGTTGAAATGTCTCTTTAAAATCCCAATTCTCTTAATTGTGGGCTCCTGTGAAATAAAAATTTTAAAAATGAATCATATACTTTCTTATCCCCAAAGGGAAGAATCTCGGCATATGAAGGACCAGATCAAAGTAAGCCCAAAATACAGCAGTTCAAATCAAATCCTGTACCTCAACATTCAGTATCTGGGACTGACTCATAATCTTCTGGACTCCAAAGGGCTTGGGCAGCCCCACTCCCCTGGCTCTGTCATCCATAGCACACATAGCTTATATGGTAGGCTCAGGCTGGTCCCACTTCATACCTGTCACTGTCCTTGGTAGACATCCTACAGTCCTGGAAGTTCCAATATCCTGGAGTCTCCACTGCAACTGATGAGGCTGCACCCTTCACAGATGGCCTCTCCTGGCCTCTCTTCAAGGACTCCAACATTCCCACATGGTGTAAAGGCCTCAGTGCTTTCCATGACCCCTTCAATCTTGCATTTTTTCATACCTTCAAAACTACTACCGTGTGGGAGACTCACAGATTGCCAAGTTCCGTTGTTAACTTGACGTGTAGCCTGGGCCCTCTTGGACCACTGCTTCTGTGTGTTGACCCTGAGAAAATACTTCCCCACTGTCTCAATAAAGCACAGAAGTTTTTGTTGTGGGAACGTCTGGAAATGAAGAGACCAAAAGCTGGTTCAGGTGAAGGAGAGTTTATTTATGCCAGTGCACTGACACCTGGATTATTCCATAATGGTGCCAGCTCCGAACTTAAATTTGTAGGACAATTTATAGTAATCAAGGAAGTAAGGCATTCCAAAAGCATAGATATGTGGTAGTTAAGCAAATGGTTATGTTAGGGAAAGAGGAATTTACTGCTTGGTTGAATTTACTGCTTGTAACTAATTATCTCAACTGGAGACACAGGCATCCAGAGATAGGGGCAAGTGCTGTAGCCCCCGGAGCCTGACCTGTCTGATCTGTGTCGTGTCACGTAGGCATGTCTGCTTACACAACAGGGAAGGGTC